ATTATATTCACTTTGAAATGTTAATTTAAACTGAACCATTTTGAAGCGGAAGCAGTTCTTTTTATTACGAAAGACACTCTCCTGATACTCAATGCCGTAGCGTAGCAACAAGCGAACAAGATGAAGTTTCTTTACATGTATAAATCGGTAAATCTAGAAACATTTTACAAAAAAATGAAGAAATTTATTGATACTGTGTAGACTAAAAGACAAGTAATGCGGTAAACTTAAACATACTATAGGTTTTATTAGCAATTTGATTTGGTGCGGATTGTTCATTCAAACCATAGAATAAAAATCCACATAGAAGGGCAACTTACGTCGGAAACTTTGAAGTTTCTGTCCTCGCGCATGTCGCATTACGCATAGTGGCCGCCATTTTCCTAGCCAGTCGATGACATTTTCTGGCCAATAAACACGCTGTACTGGCTGGCTGCTCCGCCTTCTGGCCAGTAAACTGCATATTTGCATAAAAAAACGAGGACACGTTGCACCGCTGAGTTGCCCTTCTGTTACTGATCTTTATTCTGTGTTCAAACTTAAGCAAATTATAGGATGTACGAATGACCTTGTTTAGTTGTTTTGCCTGTCGCTTTATTAAGTTGCTTTTTGTTGGTATTTTCGCCATGTTTCACAAAGATTTTTTCGTAATATGCCCATAATTATTTGTGAATTATTGAACAGTTTAAGCTATACTTTATTTTGTTTTTGTATGCAAAAAATTAGCCAAGATCGCAATACTATGATTTGTTTATTTCGCTCAATTTGCCAGATCACATTTTTCCTAAAATTGACTGGCTAAGTGAATTCTACACTTTGCTTTGATTGGCTAGCTAAGGTCTCCACTTCAATATGATTGATTTAAAAAATAATGCGGTTACAACTCATGCTGATGGGAGCAAAGCCCAAAGTAGTGCGATTACAGCTCTAAAATAGTTTGATTTGGGCTGTATAATCGCACTATTTTTAGCCAATCAGATTGCTCGAATCGCGCATGATTTCAAAATAAATATAATAAATAGAGAATAATACATGGGTGCGCGGAAATACCAGATTTATTTCGAGTGTTGAACATGATATCTCACGAGTGAGCGCAGCGAACGAGTGAGATATCATGTTCAAAACGAGAAATAAATCTGGTATTTCCAAGCACCCATGTATTTTTCTGTTTATTATATAAACAAAATTCAGTGAAAAGCAATAAAACGTCCGTGACAATGTGTTTTACAACAAATGATATTTTCAAACGTAAAAATATCGTATTTTTTACGTGTGTTTAAATACGAGTTTTCTCGGTGGCCAAAAAGTCTATATAACACTTATGTTTATATAATAAAAGTCATAACATCACCTGTCCCCAGAGCACCATCGATGATTAGACCAGTTTAAGGAAAGCGGCTTATACTGAACATGTAATTCTCATGAACAATTCATGAAAATCTTGCATATCTGACACAAAACAAACGTCGATTTTCGGTCGCTTTATGTTATTTTCCTATCATACGGAACACTACTGCCCATACTACATATATATCACTTCTAATAAAACAGCAATTATTTTGTGAATAATTGTAGCACCTGGCTCATGTGAAACTGGAAACTGGTGGAACAGTTTTGACCGCAGTGGTTGGTCGAAATGTCCTTATACATTTCATTACATAAGTGGTCTGAATAGAAGCAAAACTTCGCTCAAGAGCCAAGATAAGATATATCTTCTGGAAGGAGCCAATTGTTGTGAAGGCTATGAGAACATCACAAGTGAATGTATGGAAGTTGATTGGACAACAAGCTTTGAAAGGTAATACTTTGGCATTCACTTGTCCAAACTAGTATTGCATGTCTATTTTACCCCATGTACGTACTCTCTTTTTCTAAGTCGGTTTATAATCATATTTGTTTTGGCAGAGTATCTTTATTTTTCTCAAATTTTGTGGAAAGCCTGAAACATGAGTGCTTACGATATGGATAGGAAACTAGCTGAAGGGAGCAGATCAACCTATTCATTAATTTACTAGAAGTACATGTTTGCAGCGACTCCTCGCCTATATTGATTTAACATTAAGTATCAGTAATTGGTCCACAATGAACGCAGGCTCGCGTTGTGCATTAAGTGTTGCCATAGAAACACCATCATTTTTACATAAATTTTATATTTTTTGTGCGAAATCAGTGAAAAATAGTTGAAAGATTAGAATTATTAACTATACAATAATGAGTTTTCGAAATATATGGATTATGGTGTCATCATGTGAGATATGTTATATTTTCTTTTTGTGAGCCTTGATTTAAATTAAAATTTAAGATTTAACCAGAAATGTGTTGTAAAGAGTCTTCAAATGTTCATTCAACTTGACGATTGTTGCCGATAAACTGTTTTTAACTTAAGGTGGCTCCCTACAGTTGTCCCTATCTTCCCAACATATCTGCAGTATAGGTCAGTACAGGCCTATAAATGGAAATCGTGCATTCTTTTCTACTTGGGGCAATATCTAAAACTTAAAATTCATAAACATTAAACATGCAAAGCAAACTTGCACCATATTTTACGATTTCCCACAGTAAATCAATTCTTACGCTCGGAACGATGCTTCATGCAAGCTTTGTCTCGGGGAAATTAGTGATGTCTTGCACTATATAGGCAGCCCAAAGGTTATGCGTGCTAAATATTTTGCACAAACATTAAAGGTTTTACTAAAGCAAAAATATAAAAATGTCCAGAGAAGAATGTATTTTTACATTTCTGATTTACCGCTATATACCAAGCGACATAACCCACTGCGAAGTGGTTAGTTTTTTGTCCCTAGGTCATGATAGCGTTGATACGAGAATCAAATTTGACATCACTATATACCTTAAACTATCGAAATATAACGAAATATTTTAAACGATAAAATAGTAACAAACGTCAATCTGTGATAGTTGCACAGCATTCTTGCTGCAACTTTTTGTGAAGGAAATCCTTTCTTGAAACAAAAAACATACGATTTTTTTCTGTAATAGTATGCTCAATGTGTCGATTGCACTGTGCTGAATGACTGGAACACGTGAGAAAGCAGGTTCCACAATCTCGTTGGTTGCCATTGGCCGAGGATTTTTTGGTAGCCAAATTGGAATGTTTGGAATAACAATGCGTATTCGTCATATGAAATGCTTCTGTCTCGCAGATTCCAGTCATTCAGCAAAATGTCCCAGTGGAACATGGACAATTTACCCACCACCAATAATACCGTTTGGTGATAAGCATATATAGAGTACTTAAAGATTATATCAAGTAAACAAATATTATTGTGCTCTACGCTGGCTATAGTTTTAACTTGTGATTGCTGGACATGAATTGTGACTTGATTTTATGTGATTTAAAATTATTTTACTTTGCAGCAAAAATCATTGGAGCTTGTGTACCAAGGGGTACTATCTATCTGGCCTTTATCGTTCAGATGGTCATTATCTAAGCAACATTGAGAAAGCGTGGTGTTGCAAACCTCATGAAGCACCTAATTTCTACACGTCATGTTACAATGAGAGTGTTCGGTCAGAATTTGACTGGAATAAAGAAGGAATGGTGTCATGCACAACAGCTAGTTATTATATCGCTGGTCTTTATAGATCCTCGTGTGACAAATTGTATTGTATTGAAGAATTTAAATGCTGCAAATTGTAGTACCTGGAAGATCATAAAATTCGCACAATCCTCCATAACATGTTTTCATCAACAACATTCCTCCTGCGTAGCAATCGCAAAGTTAATATTATATATAATTGTTAACTTAAATTATTTGCTGTAAGGTAATAAATATAGTTCAAACACTCATTAATAACTCATAAGCTTATTGGCAAATCATGTCAACCATAACATGTCACGTGCAGTAGCTTTAAACCTGATAAAACACTCCTAATTAGTATTATTTATATAAAGAATACTAATAAGGCAGTATCTATTGTAGTCGTGTCCTCATTAACAGGTGGGAAATTTGTCGTCGCTGACCAAAAAATTGCGGGCAGAAACAAAGTTCATTGCATTTTATACATAGAAAACAAAGCAGAAAGTTAGCAAGAAGCTGTTTTAGCTGACGATTTTTTGCTTTCCATTCAACGATTTACAAATTATTGGTTATTCTTTTAAAAGTCGATCATGAATTCTTTGTTTTGGGATGATTGTTTTGTAATC